TTTTCTATTCGTTTAGTTGATTTTCTTTTAATCCTTTTTGGCGTTTAAAGGGCGTCAGCTGCAATGCAGACAAAATAGGGCCACGCCCACTTCCAGATGCCCGGATCCAGATCCAAGTGGCGCTTGTTAGTTTAAACTGATTTGCAATGTTTGACATGGGCCATAAAAAGCAACGAGGCAAACGACAAGGATAACGGTGAGATGGAGATAGCACAAGGAGCGGGCCAAAGAAGGACATTAGACCACTCGCCCAGGTCGCAGCACTGAGAGAAAATTGTACATAATAAATTGGATATGAGCAACATGTTTTCACTGGTAAAATTCATGATATTTAAAAAACGAAGTTTGCATTTACAAAAACCGAAAGGGAAAATTTGTTCTTTAATTTCTGATTGAATTCTTTTTAATCAACCATAATTTATTTTTGTGCAGCAAAAATCTCTCCACTTATTTGGTTAAAAACTTTGTTTACCTTTCGCTAATTGAACAGCAATGCATGTGTTCGCATTTAATTGATGATAATTTAATTTGCCTTCTCTGGTTAGTGGCTGTTATTTTTTTGCAGTGCTCCGCTCTGCTGCTTTGCTGTTTGATAGCCTGGCCTTTTGGTATTTCTGGGCCACCCTTGGGCTTTGTTTTGAGCCGAATTTTCAGCGACTGTCAGTGAGGTTCCTGCTCTTGGCCATTTCAATAATCTCTTCATTTGGACGACGAGGGGGCCGCACAACGATTTTTTCCATGTTAACATTTTATTTGTCTGCACAATGGGGCGTATAAGCAACGTTGCAGGAGCATCACCATGCCACGTTGCTCATACGCCCCATTGTGCAGGAAATTCGGTCCGAAAGCCATAACAATGGTGAAACGAGAGCCACATTCTAAATGCTAAGTTCATTCATTCATTCCGCACACAGAAACATATAGAAATACACACATATAAACACATAGATACACATACACATAGACACGCAGACACACAGACAAAGACAGAGAGACAGAGAGACACACAGGCAGTTGCTTGTTTTTCGGCAACAATTAAAACGATTTAAATGCAAAACAGTCAACGCCAGAAGAGCATGGCCCCAAGTGGGTCATCTGCTGGCCGGCACTGTATTAGCCAATTTCTGAATCGCCCCCGATTGCCCCCGATATGGTTAAAGGAACGGGCCGTAGCCGTAGCACAAAAGTCAACTGGCAACTGGCAACTGGAAACTGGCAACTGCAGTTAAGCCAGCATGGAAAATGCATTTCACATCGAAATGCATCTCACTAGATTAGAATACGGAATGTATTCAATAAAACAAAGCCGGGCATATTTATGTTGCAAACTTTATTAGACAATCGCCTGCCACATAAGCAATGCTCAGTTGAATGGAGGCATAATTTAAATGTGGTCTACTTTTAATCGCATAAACACACAATAGCATGCATAATACAAAAGCTTGGCTCCGTACTAAAACCGTATCGTCAAATAGGTAAAACCAAAAGCATGTATCATATATCATTTGAAATCAAATCATATCTTGGCTTGAATTTCCCTGCTTAATAAATTGTAGTTCAAAAAACATTTAAGTGTTATCTAATAGACAGAATCTTCTGGCTTTTATTGACTGGTTGGCAAAGACTCAGCCCGAAAACCACTGAAAAAACACTCACTCACTCACTCACTTGAGTAAACTTGGCTTAATTACTTTTGCGCTAAGCTTTTCCATCTTGCCAAAACGAATAATAAACATCAATTAAGTTGGAGCGTCAAATGAAGGGTGCGAAAAGTGTTGGGGATTTTGGCGCTTGGGCACTAATTCAACATTTAATCAGTTCGTTTAATTTCCATGCACAAATCGCTATTTGTTGTTATTTGGTCACAGTTCGGGGGCTTCCATTTGGCCCTTGACTTTTCCCCAACTACTATCCGGATTTTCGCCGCGTTTTCCCATCGCACGAGCATTTTGCTCGATTTTCCCACGACGCCATGTTTTTAGTGTGCAAATGGCTTTTGTTTGATTCTGTTGGCATTGCCGTCGTTATTGTTGTTGCATTTAATTAAAAGCCCCGAATGCAGATTGAAGATGGCCGGAGAAGTGGAGAGTGGAGTGGAGAGTGGAGTGGAGAGTGGAGTGGAGAGTGGCAAGAGGAGTATGGAGATGCCACAGCGAAGAGTGGTGAGTGGAGAACGGATAGCGAACAATGGCTACAAGCTGGTCAAAATGAATAAATAGACGCGCGTTTGCTATTTTGGCCACCACAATGGCAAAAACACATTGAAAACAATTGTTTCCTAAACAACTTAATAATATAATAAATATAATGAATATTATCCAAAACTATATCTTATAAGATTTAATTTAAAAAGGAATAATCTTTTCAATACACTATTCTTGCATTTGTTATTTGTCTTGCGATTCTTTAATTTATATTCTCAGTCAATCCAGCAATTGTAAAAATATTTAAAAATTAATATTTTGTATGCTAAACAAATACGTATTTGTCATAAAACATGAGCACATTTTTATGATTTTTCTCGAAGTGCAACAATAATAACAAGCGATGGCAGCAACAATGGCATTTCCACTCCCACTGGAGCCATTCATGTCACACACAAGCGCGTAAACACGCACACACCAACACTCATTTTCCCCTTGTATAAACACACAAACACTCGCACACTCGCACACACACACACACACACACATTTCGTAATCGCTCAAAATTGTTTGGCAAACATTTTAAACATTTTCTATTGCATTTGCCTCTGTGCCATTCTCAAAAGTTACCCTCACAAATAAAATACAGACAACCTAGAAATTAGGAAACATCCGTTTTCTGATTTAATATTAAAGTCTGGGCGTGGTCAATGTCCTTAGGAGTGATAAGCCTAAAACAAAGAGCCGTCTTTCAAGGAAAAACTTAAGAAGAAATTATGTAATGCAGAAACAATAAAAAGAGATATCTATAATGAGGAAAAAGTCAACGGTGCTCAAAAAGAGTGATTATAAAATATAATATAGTTCCTTAGTTTGATTTAAGCAATCTACACTAAATATTAGGGTTTATAAAGCAGTGCCATATTAGGCATACAGCTGTTTTCAAAATAATAGGAGTGCTTTTGCATATGCACTTGTCCCTTCTGTAGCAATGTTATGCGTTCATTTTTTTCAATTTTATTTCTTTTTCCAAATTTGTTTATGGATACACATTCTGAGGTACCGTTATTTTTTCATTTTACTATCTTCGTTTTCTGAGAATTACCCAAATTCGTAAACAAACTTCATTTTGCGCTCATCAAAATAATAGGAGTGTGCCATTTTAATCTGTTCAGAGCGCAAAAAAAGGTAATTATTCTTTAAAAAAACGGCTTAAAAGTATAGAATGATTAATATCCAACTACAATTTTAACGTTTAAGATCGAAAATTTAAAGCAATGGGTCGTGGCAAACATTGCACACCTGAGCGGCGTGATTTGATCAAAAACTTGATTTCAAGTGGGAAAACGTACAAGGAAGTACAAAAAATAATTGGATGCGGTGCTTCCATGATCCGAAATGCACTAAAATTTTCACCCAAGCCGGAAACCCGCGGCCGACCCCAAGTTCTAGCCGATAAACTGGCTACACGTGTTGCAAGGTACTCGAAGAAGCATCCTTTTGCAAGCTGCAAAGAAATCAAGGATGAGCTTAACTTGGACGCAAGTATCCCAACAATAAGTCGTCTTTTAAAGAAGCAAAATTTGACTGCCCACAGTCCACGGAAAATTCCATTCCACACCAAGAAGCACATAGCCGCAAGAATGAAATTTGCAAAGAGCCATGTCAACTGGTCAGTTGAAAAGTGGCGTAACATATTGTGGTCGGATGAGTCGAAAATAGTCCTTTATGGTGGCAAAGGATCTCGACAGTACGTTAGAAGACCACCTAACACCGAATTTAATGCCAAATATTGCATTAAAACGATCAAACATGGCGGACATAATATAATGATTTGGGCATGTTTCTCGTACTATGGCGTAGGTCCAATATATTGGATTAAAAATATTATGGATGGTCCTGGATATGTCCAAATAATGCAGGAAACAATGCTGCCTTATGCTAGCGAAGAAATGCCACTGGTTTGGGTCTTCCAGCAAGACAATGACCCAAAGCACACAAGTAAAGTGGCTAAGAAGTGGTTTGCAGACAATAAGATTGCAGTACTTGAATGGCCCGCCCAGTCCCCCGATCTGAATCCGATCGAAAATTTATGGACAGACGTTAAAAAGGCGGTCGCAGAAAGGCATCCAACTAATGTTTCCGAGCTTTGGGAAATTGTAAAGGCCTCTTGGACCTCGATTCGTCCCGAAAGATGCCAGAAATTGGTGGATTCCATGCCAAGGCGCTGTGCGGCAGTGATAGCCAATAAAGGTGGTGCCACGAAGTACTAATTATAGTTTTTTTTAATTACATTTAACATTAAATTACTTAATATAACCATATTTTATCGTTATATATTATTTTCAAAAGTTCTGAGAGAATTTGCTTGAACGCTCCTATTATTTTGAGAAACCCATATTGGGTGTTGTTCCCTTTTTTTTTTTTTTTTAAGTATGTATTTAATGAAGTAACTTTTTTTAGTTTTAATTACTTTAATACAAGTCATATTTGTTAAAAAAAAATGAATTTAAGAAATTTAATTCGTATTGACATAGTTTTTTTCACCGATTTTCACATTCGTGATGGTCACTCCTATTATTTTGAAAACAACTGTATCATATCAGTAAATGAATATGGCATATCAGAGTTTCATAATCTATAGTTTCGTGGGCTTAATAATCCTGAGCAGACACTTGCTGACATCTTTAAAAGAATACATCATAATGTTTGGTTTTTAAAGCCAGCCCAAGTTTTCCCTTTTCCTTTCCCAATTCGGCTTAACCCACATTTGGGTCCCTCGCTCAATTCGAAAAGGCGCATATTTGCCTAGCCCAAGAAACAAAACATTAACTTTGGTCCTAATGCTAATCTTACCTTGGCACAAAAAGTATTTCGCCTGCTGCTGCTGCTGTTGTAGTGGTGTCCCCACTACACCCACACACACACGCACACACAGTCCCACGTGGTCCTCACACGGACACGGGTTCGCTTCCTTGTTTTGGTTTCTGGCTTCTGGCTTCTGGTTTCCTCGAACTTTAGTTTTCAATTTGCATTCGGTTCCTTCGGCTCACAAGCGCACACCTTTTTATTCGAATTTTTCCAATATTTGTTTTGAAGTTTCGACTTTGTTGTTTTTTTTTTCCGTGTTATATTGTTTGGTTTAGAACATTAAAAAAAGAGTAAAAAAAAAGTGGGTTGGTCTCACTCAGCTGAGCTTAAGAAAAGATATTTATAAGCCAAAACGAAGGAAAAGAAAATATTTAACTTTCGAGCGTGAAATCACTCTAACTCGACCAAACTTTAAAGTTGAACAGCTCCTGGTATTCCAATTTCTTCTAAAATATTTCATAATATCGTTTCGTTTTTAATATCTACTCGCCAACTTTTACAACCTTCTAAATTTAATCACTATAAGATGCAGTTTCGCCCTTTTGGTACTTTTTTTGTACGCCAATAATTTCTTAACTATCCAATAAAAGTTTCTCTGTCCAGTTAACAGTAAGCTTTTAAGATCCTTTCTGCTATTTTAGCAATTTTGCAAATAATAAATACTTTTTGCTGGCAATCAACAAGTTGTAAATTTGACGGGGATTTCCCTTTTCAATTTATTATTACGAAACATTGCATGTCAATTGATTTCTAATTCCCCTTGGCTGTTGTTGCCTTGGCAGCTCGCAAATAAAATCTCTCTTTTAGTTTGGCGCGACCTCCGCAATGACCGTGTAACAATTTCGGTTTTCTTTTGCCCCCTTCTCTTTTTTGCTTCTTGTTCTCCCCACCCCTTTTTTTTCTTATTTCCAATCTATTTTCCTTATATTTTTCCTTTTTTGTTGCCAAGAAGACGCGCGCACAAAGCCAAAAATTGGGAGGGCGCGCGTTTTTGTTTTTCTGTTTTCAAAATACGCGAAATTTCTCAAAATTTGAGCTAGTTGCATTAAGCATTTGGTTAGGTAATTTTCTAGCCTTAAAACAGCAACACACACACATACAGCGGCGCTTACAAATGGCCAACTTATGTAAGCGTTTTGTGCGCGTTTCGCACGCGTTTTGTCCGCTGCTTTTTCCGCCAACGCGACAAAGTTGCAACTATAAATTTGTTAACCCACAGCCAAAAAAAAAACCCAGAGGCCTGCAACTTGTTTGCCAAGCTGTTTTCTTTGTTGTGGTCGGCTGGGAATCAAATTTTTTTTTATTTCATTCATTCATTTTTCGGGTTTAGTTTGAATTTGGGTTATTTCCTGGCACATAGATATTAGTAATAAAAATCCAAATGATAAATAATTGCAAACAAAAATAAATAAAACCTACAGCTGAGGCGGTCACATGCGCGACACAGACACAACACACCAACACACGCTCACGTAGACAGACAGACGAAAAGGGGGCGGGGCGGCAGAGGCGGTGGCGGCGGTGGCGGCGACGTCGGCGGCGGCGGGACGGCGGCAGCGGCGGTGGCGGCGGCAGCAGCGACAGAATAATAACAACAATAAAAAAAACAACACGCAAGACTACCAAAACGACAACAACCGACGACGACAACGACAACGACAACAACGACGACGAATGGCGACTTTAGCGCGTTTTTTGTGCTGCCTTCAGATTATTTGGGAACCCTCTCTCGAAGCGAAACGCGTGCCGTCAGCGCTGAGTCCTGTTTCATACTGATTTGGGGCCATCCTCGCATCCTGCCAAGGATGCTGCTGCTGTTTCGCAGTGGCTGCCTCCGCTGTCGTTCGCTGCTGCCACAGCCACTGTTAACTTTGCTTTGCTGCGGCACAAGAATTTCCCCAGTTGCTCTGTTAAAATTTCCCTGGCATGCGCACCGTGCCACCGACACTGCGAACGAGCGAGTCCTTTTATTGCGAATGCAGGATGCAGTTTCAATGCCAGCCGGCCAACGCTGCGGATGCGTGATGTGCACTGCGACCGTTTGCAGCGGGGGAAAATGTGAGGAAATGCGAGGAAATGCGGGAAATGCGGGGTGGAGATTTCCGAGACGGAATTTGTCAAAATTATTACTGCTGATTGCGAATTGAGCAACTTGGAACTTCTTTGGGTCTTCTTCAGATTACAAAATTCATGGCATTTAATTATATATAATTTTTATAGTTATTTAATATTTGTGATTAGCTTTATAATATTTAAGTTGTTCCTAAATGTATATTCAAGCCCTCGAAAATAAAAATACTTTTGAATAAACTCGCATCAGTAATTTATACGCAGGAGACGACTTTATTGCCAGCTGGCCAACGTTGCGTATGAGTTATATTCGCAGCGACAGCGTGTGGCCAAAATTTACACAAATTTGATTTTGATGACTTGCTGATGTTTTTTAAATTTAGACACTTGCTCATATTTCTTTTGATTACCCACGAATAATTTAATAGCATTTTAGTGAGCAAAAAACACACATTGAATATTAATCGTTGGTCATTTAAAACTTAAATGAAAGGGAATTTATTTGCATGATGTGCGGATCCGGAAACTTATTCACTCAAAATGCAAAGCAATATATGCATGCCCAGGTGGACTTTCTAATTAAACGGATACTTTTATGGTAAGCCATCTGAGCTGAGTGCTAAGTTAACGCACCTATTTCAGCTATTTCAGCTAATAAGGTAAGTGGCCATTGACAGTCATTAATGCTAGCCGCAGTTAGCCACAATTACGCCAGCTGGAGCGAATCAATTTATTTATGAAAATTTTCGAGGCAGTGCGCCATGTGCAGCGTGTGCAGTTGGCAGTCGGCAGTCGGCAGTCGGCAATCTGCAGTCGAGGGTCCTGCGTCCTGCGACCTGCATCCTTTCTCCTTCGTCCTTCGTCCTGCGTTGCACACGTGCATGGCATTAATGCAAATGAGCTGGATGCTCGATGCTGGCTGTTAGCTGGTGAATGGTGGCTTCTACTGGCATATATGTACGTACGTTTCTGCTGCGGATGCGGAATGCTCGACTTGATGCCAAATTGAATTATGTTGGATGCCAGAAAGGTTAATGAAAGAGAGCGCCGTTCTCGCACCCGGATCCCGGACACATCCACGGATTTGGACTCGGACTCGGATACGGATACGGACTCGGATTCGGATTCGGTGTCGGACAACGAGAATTCAGAGATTCAAGCTGAATGAATTGTGATGAAGCACCGCCACCAACAAAGTGCTGTCGTGGGGGCCACTGAGATGACCACACATAGATGTGGTCGAGCACTGAGAGAAACTGAGTTAAGCCTAAATTAAATCAGATTACAATATATATCTGATAACTCCCTCTCATTTATAATTGACTGAATCTAGAAGAACTATCTATTACAAACAGAGAACCAATTAAATACCAAAATAAATTTTTTTATATTGGTTATATTTATTTTCATTGTAGTGGATGTGTGTTTTCTCAGTGCAGATGGAAAAGCACTGGCCATTGGCCATTGGCGACTGTCGACTGTCGACTGTCGACTGTCGGTTGCTGGTGGTCAGGCTGCATGCAAATTGATGCTTTTTGTGTTGGACTCTGCATTATCTTGGTCTGGATCTGGGTCTCGGTTTTGGTCAGGGGCTTGTCGAAGGATTCGGTTTGGTTTGTCCCGAAACGGAACTCGGAACTCGGAACTCACAATTCGGGCGATGCCACCCGATGCCGGTGCAACTGGAAATGGGCGGGCGAAATTCCCCGAGCTGTTTTTCAGTGTAATGGCTCAGTAATGTTTGGCGGAGATTCATGTGGACCGACTGGAAATTAGAGCTAACGATGACTGACAATCTTTCCTTCTAGCCGAACATAAACATGAGACTACTTTCTTGTGCGGCCCAAGGATAGTTTCTTGAGCGTTTATCAAGGGTTTGAAGGTTTCAATTTATTTAATGGCTATTCGAGTCAGTTAACCTCTTTAAATCAATTAGCTTGAAAGGGTTTTTAGATTAGTTATCCTTATAACTTAATATTTAAGATAATCCAACGTGACTGTGCAACTCATTCAACCTTATTAACTCTTCTTTTCAATCTGTGAAGCCGCAGTAAATTAAAAAGCTAAGGAGAAAATATTAAAACACTCCATATATCACATAGGTACACACTTGGGCACTTATTTCAATGAACCTGACGCACATCATTGAGCCATTAAGTGTACAAAATGAGGCAAATCGGGGTCCCTTTCCCAGCCTTTTTTCGTCGCCGTCATCAAGAAGCCAACTTTTCGTCAAAATGCCCACATAACCCAAAACGCCGGGCCCCCGGAAAACTCTCCTCTTTCCTGCTTCCCCGCTGGGATTCCCATTTTCCGGGCCCAGAAGAAGTTGACAACATGCAACTGGCAGTGGCAGAAAAGCCACCAGCAACCCAGCCACCCAGCAATCCAACAACCCAGCAGCTACAGCATTTTCCGCCTCAATTAATTAAAATGTTTTGTTTTAATGCCTCGACAAGGATAAAGGAAAACCGACGCCTCATCCTTCGTCCCTCGTCCCTCGTCCTTTTCCTGACACATCCGCCCCGGCAGTCTAGTGTAAAATGCTGATTGATATTTCCCGGTTAATAACTTGGGTCGCTCGATGCTTTTGGCTTTTCTTTTCAAGGTCGCGCAATAAAAATTAAGTTCATCCATCATTAATGGCCACCCACGACAGCCAAGAATGCCAAAAAGGATGAGGAAGGATGCGGAAGGATAAGGTAGCAGTTGCCCCTTTCACTCAGTCTTGTTGACAGCTTCCAAAATAAACACAATATTTCCCAAAATACCCTTACACTTTGGTCAACCATATTGCAATTAATAAATTAATTAAATATTTACAAATAAAAGGGGAAGGAAAAGCCAGGAACTAAATGAATATTAGAATTCATTAAAAGCAGTCTGTTGTTGTAACATTCCGACACCACCACTCATTTCCAAAGATAAAATCTTGAGGTGGCACTATGCCTTTTAGTTTTTGCAGAGTGTAAAAGGCAAACGCAGGACGAAGGATAATGAGAACAACGACGACTCAATTAGCGAGTTGAGCGGCGTTGCATTTACATAACATTTCAAGCAAGTTTATTTAATTTAATTGTTGTCGACTTCTCGCCGAACGTTCGTTGCTCATTGTCCTGCGAACTCCGTGTGCCTCTCTGTTCTTTTCCAGCGCCAGCTGTTATTGTTTTTTCGAAAACAATATGGCCTTGTTAGACAAACCGCAGACATACGCAGACAAAAGGAGAACGGAGGCACACACATACACTAACACACACACACACACACACACAGTTTGAGAGGAGACTCACAAATAATCATTTTTGGTGGCTGCCAACAACGGCGGACTCCCGGCCATTGTTGTGTCCTTCTGAAATCCTGGAAGGACCCCAGCTGCTAGCCAACGTGTAATGATCGCTAATGGTCGCTCAATCATCCGCTTCCCGGCGGACTCACCTATGGACATTCCACATTCCCGGCCAAAAGGACAATGGCTATTATGGCCAGCTTTAAATTTGTGTCCATCACCGTTGGGAATATTTTTGGGTTCATTTAAATAAAAATATGTTACACAACTTTGGAAACTTAGCACTGCATAACTTACTTAAATTAAGTTATGTAAATAAATTTAGCATTTTACTTGCCGTAAACTTGGTAAAACTTACCACAAAATTATGATCATTGATAAAAAAATTTTTTTTACGATTTTCTACAAATTCAATTAGAAACTCTGAACTTTTTTTGCTGTTTTGGACTTTGAACGATCTCTTAGCGATTTGCCGCTCACATGATCTGATATCGTTGGGCGGTACAGTTGAAAAACTGTTGGGGACCTTTGACCCGCCACTCGTCGCAACAGCAGCGCCCCCAGGCGGACGGCTCGTGAAGCATCAAGTCGAGCTGCAACTAAATTCTCAATGGTTCTTTATCTCAATTTGGCACATTTTGGTCGCAGGCGGAGAGCTCGCGGCTGTCCCAGCTGTCTGCCAACTACAGCGACTCGACTCGAGTTCAGTTCAGCTTGTGTCAGCCGCAGCCTCAAAATCAGACCCAGCTAGAGTCCTGCATGCATATACACTGAGCGAAAAAACTACTTAAACAATTAAGATGTATAAATCCATAGGGCATGTCAACAAAAGATATTCTAAAAGGAATTTTTCTGTCATTCCGCAATTCAATAATATTGCTAACTGAACTTATCACTTGCGATTTATAATTTCTCCCATTAGAAACGTATATTTGTTTGTTCCAGTGTAATGCCCCTTGGCACGCAGTCTAGCTGTATTACTTGCACACTCATTGCCTCTTTTTTTGTAATGACC